ACAAACAGTGAGCTATTATTTCTCGATCTGTATTCTGTTTTTTTTGGCGGATCTTTCATAAGAAATTTTGTTTCTTGTTTCTTTTTCAGAGATCAACTTCGATCAGTTTTAGGGAAGTTTTGGAGAATGCAATGACAGAGAATCGAACAGTCATTATTACAACGTTGAATCAAGCCTGGGCAGAACCAAACTCTCTGTTTGATCTGTTTCTTGAGAGTTTTCGTATCGGACAAGGAACACAGAAACTACTTCAACATGTGGTTGTGGTTTGCTTGGATTCCAAGGCATTTGAGCGTTGCTCACAACTTCACCCAAATTGTTTCTATATAGAAACCTCAGGCACTGATTTCTCCGGTGAGAAACTCTTTGCTACTCCTGATTACCTCAAAATGATGTGGCGAAGAATCGAGCTACTTACACAAGTGCTTGAAATGGGATTTAACTTCATCTTCACGGTACTAAATCTCAAATTTCTTTTGCTTTCTTGAATCTTTTTGAGTCAATGTATGATCAAGAAATTACTTTATGTGTACATATAGTTCTGGCCCTTTTGGGTCATCCTAGAGGAGGTCCTTACATTTGCGTTAATTAGAAGAGGACCCATAACAAAATGGTTATCTATATTTTAAGGTATATATTAATATATTGAACAAGGCCAAGTTACAAAGAAAGAGAAAAACTTCTTAACTGAGAAAATATCACAACTACCAATAATTCTTCAACACCAATCAGGATAGTCAAATAGTTGAAATATTCATCTTATTAGTTGAATGATTAGGGTTCGAATCTTCTCCTTTTAGATTTCAATTATAGTTAGCTACTGTGAACGTCTTAATTGCCAAAACTACTTGATTTTGGTCAAATATAATGTCTATAATCGCGGTTTATGATCCCTTTAAAAAAAAAAATTAAATCTAGCAAATTTTATCTCTTAGTATTTTTTTTTTTAATTTAAAAGATTAAACCCAAAACAATGTGTATAAATGTGTGAATAAATGCTATTTTTGATATAGAATTTTCAATTAATACGTAGCCATGTTATTTTTGAATATTTTAGGATGCAGATATAATGTGGCTTCGAGATCCATTTCCTCGGCTATATCCAGATGGAGATTTTCAAATGGCCTGTGATCGATTCTTCGGTGATCCTAATGACTCAGACAATTGGGTAAATGGAGGCTTCACTTACGTGAAATCAAACCATAGAAGCATCGAGTTCTACAAATTCTGGTACAAATCTCGTTTGGATTATCCAGAGTTACATGACCAAGATGTGTTCAACAAGATCAAACATGAGGCTTTAGTCTCGGAGATTGGAATCCAAATGAGATTCTTTGATACGGTTTACTTTGGTGGGTTTTGTCAGACGAGCAGAGACATAAATTTGGTGTGTACGATGCATGCTAATTGTTGTATTGGATTAGAGAAGAAGCTTCATGATCTTAATCTTGTTCTTGATGATTGGAGAAAGTATTTGTCTTTGTCTGAACAAGTTAAGAACACGACTTGGAGTGTTCCTTTGAAGTGTACATGAATAGAAACATTTGAGATTTGAAATGAAGAAAATAAGATCATTGGTCAAGAGGGACAATTTGTTCTTTAATTTGTAAAGAGAGTAAAAAAGTAAAAATTGGATAATAGTAAGTAAACAATTCCTTCAATTCATAAGAAATCATTTTCTTTTCTTAATAGTTTTTAGAGGCCTCATATGTGCTCAATATTTTTATGTTCGGCCCAAAAAGCTTTGCACCCAATTTGTATTCTTTATAGAATTTAGTTTCATGGAATTTGGCCAAAAATAAGAATCACTATTTAGTGACCAGGACAAAAACATCACTGTTTTTTTTTTTTTGATAACTCGCGTCACTATTCATATGCGGAAAAATTTCAAAAAATATCATTTTTCAAATGTCACTTTACAAAAATGTCACACTTTTGAAATCTTTACAAAAATACCACTTTTTCAAAATTATTATTTTTTATATTATTTATGTTTGGGTTAATTATGTTCTATTACGATTTAGTTATAAGAGTTTATGAGGTTTTAGGGGTCAAAACATTTTTTAGAGTTTAGAATTTTAAGATATATGTTTTATTAATCTATAATTAGTTGTATTTTTACAAATGGATACCCCTAAGTGGCATTCTTGCAAATGTACACACAAAAAGTGGTATTTTTGTAATTGCTCCTTGTATATGTTCTTTTAAATAAATCTTCTTCAAGAGACAACTCTCAGATTGACCATTGAAGCCAATCCGTCAATCAAATACATTAAGAGATGTGGAAGTGCATCTAATCAAATGGTTAAGAAATCATATATGAAGTTTGTTTTCACTGTAATCCGATTCCATCTCTACTTAAAGAGTTGAGAAAATTGTTAAATAAAGAGTTATGGCGATAAGAAATTCCATTTAGCTAACCAACAATGAATGTATTAAGTTATTTAACCGGTGGGTATGGTTTGTACCACTTGTTATACTGCAAATATTTTAAGTTTATTAGTTTTGATTGGTAATTTTGTAGTATAAAGTATACCGTTTTTATAGTTATCAATCACAAAATCGATATCAATAATTTTATTAAATATGTTACATTCAGTTTTATTTGTAACATTTTTCTTATAACTATTTTCTACATTTTGCAATATTCTATAACCTTTTACGGTTAAAATATTTGTATTGTTTTACGTTAGCAATCATATTTATTATTTAATAAACTAATGAAATTTAAAATGTTTGTTATTTTACTGATTTGTTATCTATTTTTCTGTCTGTTATTTTACTGATTTGCTTCTAACGGCTCGCAATTTCACGTGATGTAACATGTGAATATTATTATCGGATAAATATATAGTACGATTAATTAAAAACTGATGTCAAGTAGTAAACAAAAATCTCTTCGGGGACATCCGATAAAATTGGAACGATACAGAAAAGATTAGCATAGCTTTTGCGCAAAGATGACACGCACAAATAATAAAATGGTCTAAATTTTTTTAGTAAACGCTTGTTGAAAAAAAAAAATAGTAAACAAAAGAAACCCTAGAAGTAGAAGCCTATGAAGATAGGCTCCGGCGAATTGTCTCGAGTCGCTAACAAACATGCATCGCCTTCCACTACGGCTTACACGGATTCCCATTTCTGCGTGTTATTTTAATTTTCCATACGAGTTTTACGTTTTGATTTTTATATTTAGATTCAGTTCACTGTTATATTTTGTAAATTAATCAACAATTAAATGTTATGTTTATCATCAAATAGTTGACAAAAAAAATGTTTATCATCTAATAAAATAAGGGAAAGAAACTATGTGTACGTGTCCATACGTACGTAAGTTAAGCTGTAGAGAGATACGGATAATTCAATGTTAGTAAACTAGTTGATTTACAAGAAGAATAAATTACAGAGGAAAGACTCGGTCCATCCAAATATCCAATGGTTGGTCAAGAAATTAACGAAGTAACACTACAAAAGATTTTTTTGTTTTGAAATCAAATTTATAGAATTGGAAGTTTCAGATTCATTATCCGTTTATCCGTTACAAATTAAATCTCATCTGTTATTAGATGGAATTATATAAATGTATAATGTACTATTACAAAAACTAATTGATATATACTGTTGTGTTTAAAACCAACGTGCGTGCATATAGTCTTCCAGATAACAAAATGAAGTGGATTGATGACGCTAAGGTGCGGTTTTGCGTGTGGCATAAACTTGATTTTTTTGAAACGGTTTTTTTTTTTGTTTTTAAATACTTTCCTCAA